ATGAGGAGTATGAGTATTACATGAGGGGGAAGTATTACGCGGAACAATACGATCATAGGGCGTACGTGACGGAGGACACCCGGAACCAGAAACATGCAACGGAACAGACACATCGCCAAACATCACAACACCACGAGCAATATCTAATACACCACCATGCTGCAACAAAAAATCGGAACCAAGAATCATGTCACAGTGAATACCAGGAGACACAACAACCGTGTGCTGGAAAGACAGATTTCCTAGCGACATACACAGATCCATGGATCCAACGACAGGAAGTTGTGCGCCATTGACTGCACACAACCGCGGAGCAGACTCTAGAGGAGGTCGCTCTGTCAAATTAGGCAACAATTTAGAATGCACTAACGACACACTTGAACCAGAATCAACAAGAGCAACAACAGGAGACGAAGACGAAGACGAAAGACAAACATCAACGTGCACAATAATGGGTGAGATCGCACCACATACCTCCTCGAGGGGCTCCACTCGGACGACTGACGGCGGCCCCGTGTCACCAGTCCAACCTAGTTTTTTGCGTGCGGGCAAGATGCAATGAAGTGGCCCTCTTCACCACATCCATGGCACACTCCACGGACAGGCCTCGCAAAACTCTGGCCACGACCACGACTAGGCGCACCAGCACCAGCACCACGAGCAACAAAACGTACATGGTCTTGCTGGGGTCGGGTGGGGCGATACAGACTCACGCTCTCCATTTTCGCCTCCAAAGCAGAGAGACGCGAATCAAATCTCGACAAAAGCGAAGCCAACTGGTCTCGCTCAGATTCCGACTTCAGTGGACCGACTGCTGTGTAGGGGTCACGACCATGAGCAGTGCGACGGGGCTTCACTTCCGGAGCAGCAGCAAATACGGGCTGTGCATACTGGTAAGGTACGGTGCGGGCCTGCTCGCGAGCATAAATAGCACCTACCTCGATGGCCTTTTGGACCGCCGCATCCAAATCAGTGGGCCGAGGTGACGCCAACGCCAAGCGCAAATCCTTCGATGCCTGGCCATCAATAAAAAGTTGCAAAAGCATTGAATCAAGCAGTGCACCTTGTTGTCCTGGGTAGGCTCGACGAGCGAGCCGACGAAGTTCCGTGGCATACCCGTGCTGAGTTTCACTCGCCAGCTTCACTCGCTGGCGAAGACTGGCCTCGTGCATCAATGCTTGCTGGGGCGGCTCAAGACGGACATGCAGAGCCTCGACTGTGTCGGAAAAGTTCATGTCAGGCGTGTGAGTTAGAATTTCGGTGAACATCTCATGAGCTGTACCAACAAGGCGAGCAGGTAGTAGCCGTAGCTTTTGGTCGTCGTCGTACCCACTCAACTCGCATGTGTGGACGAAATGCCTCATGTACGTGGTGAAATCTTGGCCTGGCTGATTTCCGAATGTCTCAGGAAGCAAAACTGGCTTCGGCAGTGGACGTGCATGTGGTGTGTCTGTGTCCGGCAAACGAAAACGATGGGACAACCCTTGTACCGGCGAACTCTCGCGCTCTTCAGCAATGCTCATGTCACAGCCAGCTTCAGCGAAGCTACGCTCTAGCTTTTCTTGTCTCTTGGATTTCGCTGAACGGCCCATTGTGAAAAAAAAATTGTTTTTGTATTTTTGAATTTTCGAAAAAAAATATTATCTGCAAAAATTTCCCGTGGACTCGATCGACTATCGATCTCAATCTATTACGTAACCTATCGTGCGTAGCGGCAAACAACTAAATTTGGCAGAGACAATTCCAAATAGGCAACTACTCTACGGACACAGTGTAGCTAGACTCTACTACCCAGCTAGCAGATAATCCTAACAAGACACTAGATAGCAGCCAGTATGCACAAAACACGGACACAGAAAATGTTCCGAAAATGTTTGGCCAGACAGGTTGGCGCCAATGCTTGACCTATGGACTGTAAACCATGGTAAACAATGCATGCAACAAGAAAACGACGAGCAGAAAGAAACACAATGCAGAAAGGAAAATATTGACGAAGAGAGTGGATGAGGATATGGTTTCACTTGCGTGGGCCTTCGTGGTTCTTCATAGTCGGCGATCTCCGAAGGCGTACATACTTCGCCAGCGATGTAGTGGTGGACGTTTTCCGCTGCCACCAGTGTTAGCTGCTCCCGGCTAATGATGCCCCCTCACACCGGAACACAAGGGTTTTATATGATTAGATAATTAGAAGTATTTGATAAGAGTGTAGACAGAAGGAGAACAGGACAACGACAACTCAAGACTAGACTAGAACTGGAGCATGCGCTCTTCTATGTGAGTGCTCATTGCCAAGGGGAACGAGCGGGAAATACAAATAGTGAGTATTCAGGTCGTAGCATACATACACCTATTACATATTGACTGCATATAAAACAGCAGTACAACATGCCAAGAACATATTTGTAAGGAGGTTTTCGGTCTACTGCTTCCTTCCTGGCGCCATTGGTATTGTGAAACATCAGTTTTAACAATATTCCTGAGTTTAGGGTAGAGAAAATCA